GGAAACAAATTCTAATCAGGTAGCTGATAAATGCTCAGGGAGCGAGAGCAATTGAAATTGGGGGAAACTATGTCCAGAATTTCAAAATGGCATTGTGGGGTTTTTATTATTATTATTAATGGGAGAAGACTATGTTCTTCATATAAACAGCTTTATCCAAAATTAGCAATAGCTAATATAAATCTTACATGTTTGTTTTGTGTGTGGTGGGGAAGAACTAAGAGCAAGGAGGGCCTCCTTCCCTTCACATAATTGAAAAATTTTAATGTATCTGGTGCTTAGCTGAAGCAGCTTCTGTGGGGGTCTCTCATTCCAGGAATGTAGAAATCTACACATAGTGGACTCTGGTGCAGTAAATCTCCATCCTCCACAGTGCTGAATGACAATTCCAAATTCTTTCACTGCTCTGCAACATGCAAACTGCAATGCAAGCCGTAATGGATTTCCACTTTCTCACTCACACAGACGCACCCCTGCAAAGAGGAGGTGGCTGTGGAAGGTGACACAGCTTGCACCTAGCACCCTCTCCAGGCAGGGGTTTGAGCTGCCTCTCAGGTGTTCAGCTGTTGCACCTAAACTACCGGAGCATTGAGGTGCTGTCTGATCCCTCCACACCGAGTTTGAAGGCAGTGGGACCGTTCTCGTGCTTCTGTTTAAATGTCGCTGTTGTAGAGCCTTAAAGCCTGACTTCCCTTTTAATGTAACCATATAGAATAACATGTACTTACAGTCCTTACTCGGTACCTTTTGCAGGCTTGGTCTGATTTTCTTGTACAACTAAACTGCCATCATCTTTTACGCAGATGTGAAGGAAAACAGAGCTGGCAATTTGGTCTGTGGGCTTAGTCTTTTCTAATGCAAAGCTGGACAACAAACTGTGGAAGGCAGCGGAGTCTTGTGGCCTTTCTTATAGATGAGGAATGAAAGTCTGAGTGGGATTTAGATAACCTTGGGGAAACCCATGCATGATGGAGATAGAACTGGAACAAGATGTTTTACAAAGGGAATATTTGTAATCTGTTTAAATAATCTGTAATTTCAGTAATTGGATTTAACAGAACTAGAAGTTGACTTGAGTCATTCTAAAAAGAGCTGATGAGGATGGCCTTGTCCCAGCACTTCTCCCAGTGACCACAGTAACCAGCATCTCAGACAGGGTAAAAAGGGACGCGACTTTAAAAATAAACATGCACTTATTATGTAGGCAGCACACCTTAAGTAGAAGCAGAAGGTAAAAGGATTTGGAAATAAGTAGGCTTGTTGGTAACCCATGAAATTCAGTAAAATGGAGGGATGTGATTAAAAAACTGCGTTCATTTTTATGTTACCAAACTGAATTTTCTACAGAGCACCTTTGAATTCATTAGTTTAGAACTGCTTTTAATTTGGTGTTTCCCTTGAGAGCCATTATATTTTTCTGCTGTCAGCCTGATGTTGAGGAAAAAAAGAAAACTGGCAGATGTAGCGTTTTCATCTAGTGTGCTTCATAGTTAAAACCAGCATTAACTGCTATGCACAAGCAGAGCATTACTTTTAATAATCCATCACAACTATTAAGTAGTTTAAATAAACTTAGTTTCAAAGATTGCTGCCATGTAGAGTTAACGTATTTTTTCTTGTTCATTATAATCCTTCTGTGTCACAAAAGGATGCATGTATGTGTTTGGGTTTTTTTGTAATACACCCACTTTAAAAGTATTAAAAAACCTTGAACAAAGAGAATTTTTAAAAAAAAAAAGTTTATATAGATGTCTGGAAAAACAGCATTTCATATTGTTCTTACAGTATTTTATACTTCTACTCCTGATGTGACTATATATAGTTTACAGCCTCATTTACTTTAATGTGCTACCTGAATAACATAATCATAGCAATAACTACGGTATAGGGTTGTAAGGTGCATGAACCGCTAATGCTTTCTGACGATTTAAATGACTTGTTCATAAAGTGTTCTTTTAATAATAGTGGTAAAGCTTTTAGCACTAGATGTCAAAAATGCGAAGAATATTGGCTTTTTCAAGTGTTATTTCTTTTCTAGCTAAAGTGTGTTTTAATAATAAATAGCACCGAAAGCCAAGGTTATGTGGCTCTTGTCTGTACAGCAGGATCCAAGCAGAAGACTCTTCCCACCTATGCAAACAGTTTGACCTCTGTCTGCACAGTTATGTAACATCCCTAATGTGTTTACTATTTCTTTGTTTAGTTTAACAAGATGTTTCTTTTATCACAAAAGGTCAGTACAACCTGAAGGAAAAAATAACATCACAATAGGTGTGATATTAGTCTGTCACTGCTTCATAAAGCTCTCAAAAAGGACTGTGCCTTTGTATTGTAAATTGGGCAGACTTGTAGCACCAAAGACCAGTCTTTCCAAAGGGAGGTGTACTGGGAAGTCAATCAAAGGCCAGGCAACTGCTAGGGGAAAAAAAAAAAAAAAAAAAAGTGTGGTTTTCTTTTCAGTTAAGCATCTTCAGGAATATATTTCTTTCTGTATCTCTAGGTTATTTGGCGTTACAGGAAACTGTGCTGCCTGCAGTAAGCTCATACCTGCTTTTGAGATGGTGATGAGAGCAAAGGACAATGTTTATCACCTGGACTGTTTTGCATGTCAACTTTGTAATCAGAGGTAAGAGACTTTTTTGGGTCTGTTCCATCAGCTAAGTGCTAATTCGGCACAGGTGCAGGCATACATTCAAGTGAAGAGGAAACATCTACCTGTAGTGGAAACCCAAGATTGAGAGTAAGACCTGGATATTTTTCCTGGGACTGATACAGAACATCTTTCATGACCTTGGTCAGAAAACATTTTGTGCTTCAAATCCTGCATCAATAAAAAAGAATAATGTTACTTCCTCTCCTTCCAAAGGCTGTCTGTCAAGTTTAATTAATTAATATTTATAAAGGACTTTGAGATCCTTTTCTGCAGAAGAACATAGCAGTACCGTTTGTCATTATTACATTAATTTCACTTTAATTCTTCATTTTTATTACATGTATTTCTTTTAAAGTATATGTTGTTTCTTCCTGTTGCCAGAACCGTAATCATTTAAATTTAAAAGATGTTGTTCCCACCATTTTCTCTGTAGCAGCATTGGACTTAATTATGCCATATTTTTATTTCCGTATCCTAACTGTAGGTTATAAAAATCCCAGGGATCCAAACCTGACACTTTGTTCTGAAGCATCACCCATATGGTACAGTTGCAGAACGAATGTCAAAAATGGTAAGATTGTAGCAACTGAATTTTTCAGAGGTGAATACAGCCAAACTTATAGCAACTACATTCAGAGCAGCAGCCAAATCCTGTCAGATTTCACCAAGACCTCCACTTCTGACTCCACAAGGGCTGCTAGCAGCTTTGCCATGACTTCTGTGAGGTCTAGGGAATGAAGGAACCAATTATGTCCGCTCCTTAATATACCTATTATTTTCAGTTATTACATGATCCTATTTAGAGTTTTATGGCATTCATATTTTTTTTTCATTTTCAGGTGGGAAGAAACACAAGATGTGCATTTCTTGGGAAGTAACAAAAAATTAGGAAGATAATAGTCTAACATGATGAAGTTAGATACAGCTCTAAATAAGCTTTGCTAACTCACCTTGTCCTACAGTGTATTATTTTGTAACACTGTAGTCATTTAAAAATCAAACATCCCTAAAGAACCATAAAATGTACAGCCGCTAATAAGTGTAGCACACTACAATTACGCTCTTTAAAAAAAGCCAAATTGACCTTTTTCATCATGTTGCATGGGAAATTAAAATACCAGGCAAGTAATAACCACTGCTTAAACTATATAATAATGCAAAGTAATTATAGGTTCTAATGCTATTTAAAGTCCTATATCAATTTTGTCTTGCCACAGAACGAAGAGGCTGTATTCTGAGTAAGGCAGGCAGAGCCTCCTGTATAGTACCCACTTAAGTAAGACACAGGCACACTTCTAGGTTTCGTTTCTTAAACCCTTCACATCCCTGTTTTTTTCAAACCACAGTTCTAGTATCATTATTAAAATGCCTAATATATTTCTGTTGTTCGCTTCATTTATTACATGCCATAATGGGGCTGCATATCTTTAGTGTTGGTTATGCACAATTAGCACTTAGTTATTGTCTTGTCACTTCAGCCCATACAAGACAAACTTCTTTAATGTAAGAAGTCAGCTAATCTTTATCAGTCAAGCAAAGCAGACAATGTTTGTTACCCTGAGTGCAGAAGATTTTCATCATAGCACACTTGGATCTGAGGAAGTGAACTTTCTTTTTTTCCCCTCCCCCCAACCCCCCCCCCAAAAAAAAAAAAAAAGCGAAGCTGTTGTGATTATTTTTAATATTGCTCTTTTACCATTACAAGTGTGGACTAATATACAATTTCACTTTGCAGATAATATGCATCATAGTGTGCCCCAGGGCCACTGATCCCCCTGGAAAAGTGCTGTTAGGTGCTTCTGAAACAGAGCTTTCCTGGGATTTTTAATAATTCTTAGCGTTGTCATTCCTGAGCCTTCAATCTAGTATTTTATTTGATTTTTACTTTGCATGTAGTTTGGGCAAAGGGTTGCTGAAATAGTCTTACAGGAGTCTTAGGCTGGGAACAGAAGAATTGTTTTACCTGATGTACAGTTTAATTCATCTAGTCAAAACAGGGAGCAGTTCTAGAAGTTTCAAAGAATTTCAGGAATTCTCAAAAGTAGTCCTAATCCTGATAACATTGCAATAGCTCTCATGGAGCCTAATAAAACAGACTTCCTGTAGGGTATAGTTCTTCCTCACAATTTGGGGCTAGTGGCACTCTGAAGAATTAATTTTGTTGATTTTAAATAATAAATCCTATTTTGCAGATGCTCCAACATAGCTCTTCTGTGGTTCCTATGGCAAAGTATCCCATGGACTACATTCTCTCATTAATAAATAGCTTTAAATATTTTGTTTTTCATTACTTGTATAAAAATAAAAATCAGAAGTGCTAGACAGCTGACCCATCACCAGTTTTGGAGGGGTTTTTATATCTGCTATGAAACCTCCTTTACTTTTAAGCTGGATAATCTTGTCAGTCATCATGCCATTAATAATTTCTGTTGCCCTTCTCAGGATCCTTTTTTTTTTCCTCTAGTTAAGCTATTCAAAATCAAACAGCAGGTTCTGAGTGAGGATATGTTTATGAGATAGCAGTTTAATTTTCTTTCTTTATTTCATGCTGCTCCTTTGTATGCAAAATAAAGTTATTGAGGTTTTTTCAGATCTGCTCTTTTCTTTCACTCCAGCCACTATCCCTAATGTGGAATTTATTTCTCAAAGGGAATATTTTTATTTATAAATACATCAGTGATATCCAAAAATCACCAACAGAGGTAGCAAGGCTCACCAACTATTACAAGACCTGTATTTTAACCTTATTCCCCACCTTCACATTTTTTTCCCAATTCAATTTTAAATCTTTTGGGTCATTCTTTATACCAATAATAATACAGCATGCCTGAAGTACTACCACTGAGTATATAATGCTCTCTGTTCGGTTCCTTATTTCAGATTTTTAGTTATTATCTACCATTTAGGTTTTTTCCCAACAGAATATATGCAATGTTCATGAGTAGGCTAAGTTGTTTCTTCAGTTTGCATTACTTTGTTTTTTCCAACAGTGAATTTCTTCTGATGTTCTATGCCTGGTTGCTCCTTCCAGTCCTTTCTGCCTTCCAAGCTAGCTAATAATTATATTAACTCACATCACACCGATCCTTGGGGCACCCTATTCTTTGGGCTTGCTACTGCACAACCTTCATATTCCTACCCTTTAAATAGTTGATCCTGGCCCAGTGAGAGAGAGGCCTGCCTGGTTTTGCCCAGTGTTTTTTGTGAAAGATTCGGTGATTTTTCTGCTTTTACGTACAACTTCACAGTTTGCTTTATTATTTTTGAGTATCTACAACTCACCATTCAGCTCAGGTCTCAGTGTGGATGGTAGATAGACCTCCTTGATTTCAGAGGACTTTTGTTTAGGCCATAAACTTCATCTCTGAACTAACTCATAATGTGCCTGTCCCCTTTTATTGGCCTCCTGAAGGCTACATTTTCAGAGTGAGAAGAAAAACGCCTTGTCTCACATACTGTATTCTAGGAAAACAGACTGTAGACAGGAGTGTAGACATAGACAGAACTGAAAGAGATCTCCTGAGCCACGCAGCCTAGTCCCCTGGTGTCAAATAGGCACTGTCTCATATTTTCCCTTTCATAAAGCTATTCAGCTCTAGGATCTAATTGTTCTGTCCAGCCAGTTTCTGACATATTTTCCCCATTTTTTCTTGATACTGATGCTTAAAGCTGTAGGGATTTTGTGAATATTAAGCTCTGCTCCTAGCCTAAAGGTTTTAGCATCCCCTTATCTTTCATGCCTATGTCCAGCTTACTCCTAATTTGAAGTTTTTCCACCTCCTGAATACCTGCAGAGTTTATCGACTGTCATCTTAATGGTGTGAGTGCTCCCCTTTTTTCTCTGTAAACACATTAAACTTCTCCTCAGAGGCACTTCACCTCACATTGGCAGTGGCCTCAATATAGTTAATTTCTGCAGAAAATTTGAAGGGGGAAAAAAAAAAAAAAAGGAAACCACTGGAAGAATAAACTTGTAAACAGACACTGCCTTTCACACTTTGTCAGGTTGCATGTGTGTGACTAGCAAAATGAAGTGGAAAATCTTGCGAGTGGGCTCAGCTGTATCTTTGCTTGACACTTTTGACTACAGTGATGATGTCAGTCTGCCTTCGGCTTTCCCACTTTACGGAGTTTCCATGTCCTTCCTTTCACTCTCTGTCGGCTGCTTTAGCAGCTTGTTCCATACTTCTGTGATATTTTCTCTCTGCTGTTTGAAGTCAACTCAGGGTATGGTTTAAAACCCCCATCTGCTACCACTGAGGGGTGTTTAATTTAACTGTTCTATCTTTCTGTCCGAAAAAGCCTTTATTTTAAAGGGAACTGGACTGAAAATGGTTACACACTCATTCAAACTGCCGTCCTGACGTAGCTGTAAACACTTACCTCCAGTATAAACTGTAAAATGCCCACACAATGCTGCCTTTGTTCTCTGGCAAGCAGGGGGGAGGGAATGCAATGCCAAGGTCCTCCTTATTTTGAACACCAACATTAGATTTTTTGCATGAGTGGTCATTTTATAAATTCTGAAGACCTGAATACTGCTTATTTTCATTGAGTGTCTCTAAATTTAGAATAAAAATTAATACATTTTCCATACCTGCTTTTAAGAAAATAGTAAATGAAAAGCACACCAAGTTGAGGTTTGTCATAATAAATTGAACTAGGATTCTGTGTGTATATATACTGCATCATACTGATAAAAATGTACAAACCCAGGCACAGTTCCCACTTTCCAGCCTTTGACAATAAATGGACATTTTTGACAGAACCCTAGAATTAGTAAACCATAGGTGTGGACTGATGAACTGTGATATAAAAGAGTGGCTTTGTTCTCTTAGTCATGCATACAGATTAACGTTAATTTGAGTTATACTGGAAACTCAAAGGAGCTTTAAAAAAAAGAGGAAAGAGGGAAAAGCAGCGGACAAGTTACATCACTGCACAAAGAAGAGGGGAAGGGTGTGGGTGTGGTAAGTCTGAGCTTTCTTTATCCTAGAGGAAATCAATTAAATGCTTCCAGATTTTGTTTCTTTCTGCAAGAACAAAGATCTGACATTACCAGAGGAGGCACTTCACACACAGCCATCTTTGTTCACAGCAATATTTCTCTCACTTTCTTAAGTAGTCTTCGGTACCTTGACACACGTCCCGTACATCAGAAAAGATGACAGACAGCAGAGAGATCTTCTTAAATACCTGTTCTGAACAATTAAATAGATATCTCTCAAAATGGAAGTTTTATACTTCTTGTGATTAGCCTAGGCACACCTACCCCTTACAAACAAGGTGATAACAGAGGTCATTTTGTAATATAAATGGCCTTCCTTTTGCCATTGTAAAATATGACAGGAGTTCTAGGATGTAGGTTAATTATAATGGTCATTCTACTAATGTCACAGTCGTGTCAAAAGTAGTATTATCAATTTATGGTGGTAAGTCCAATCTGGCATGTTAATGCAGCCTATTGTATACTTTTTCCCGTTCATCTTTCATGCCTATTAAATAAATTGGGTGAGGCTTTTAGGGAAGGCTGAAGACTACCATCTGCCTGCTAGAAGACTAATAGTCTTGCCTCATTATATACTCCTAACCCAGTGGCATCTCAATATGCTCCTTGACTCCATTTGATATACGTGCCCAAACTGTGCCCTGATTTACATCCTATGCCAATTCCATAAAAAAAAACCCAAACCAAAACAAAACAAAACACTTGCTGGAGGTGGAATGCTAGGCTTAGATTTACCCTTCCATTTTAAAGCTGAGCCAGGTTTAAATCCTGGAGTGTGCAAAACCAATCTGAAGTCATTTCAAGATTTAGCTCTTTGACTTTAGAGGAGGCTAAATCTGCTTTTGAGAGTCAAATAAGGTTGAAAGTGTGGATGTACAGAATTTGTCATACTTCATTCATCTATTTGCTTTGTCTCATTGTACTTGGGAGATAGAATGTCTCTTTGTCACCTAATGAGAGCATAATTCACACGTTTAATACCCAGGGGCACACACAAACCTCACCGTCAGTCTTTGCCAATGTGTTTTGGTCGCTGAGCTTGCACAATATGAAAACAGTTGCAGAATTTGGGCCGTAACTATCACAAGTAACAGGTTTCCCCCAAAGCAGAGAGGGCCACCCCCAGCATGCAAGCACAGCCCCAGACAAACCCAGAGGGTGTCTTACCATGCAGACAGACCCTCACCCCAGAGGTTATTACATGGCCAAATGTGTCTAGACAGGCCACTGGCAGCCCCTCCACAAGACAGCTGTACACTTGGAAGGTAAATGATTTGTGGAACTGTGTACGTTTAAAGCCACTCATGCATAAAGCTGTCAAATGCCATGTAGACATAGGTAGTGTATTCCTGGCTCGACATATTAACATAGCAAAAGCAAAAGGCATTGACACTTTTTATTGGGAAAGGCATCCTGACTCCCTCGTGTAGCTGGTATAGTTTAATTCAAACCGTGGCACTTCTCTGAGGGCTGAGAAACAAAATCCTTCAGCCAGGATTTTGATGCAAGCAATGCTGGAAGAAGCTACATGTGAAAGTATTGCTGTGCAAGTGAATTGCACTTCAGGAGCGTATTTTTCATTTACTAAATATTTTAAACAAATTAGCCTGCTAAGCTCTGCATTATGTTGGAACACAAAGGAATACGTAGCTGAATAACGTTCACAGTCTGGAGTTAGTGCTTCCTGCTGGGCAAGCAGAGGTTCTTGTGTCTCCCACTGGTGCCCGTCCCGTGGGGAGAGCAGGCCTGCTGAGCCATAACGCTCTGATGGGGTGGGCACTGCTGGACAGTCGTTTCCCGCTCAGGCCCTGCCAGGAATCCTTGGGCAAACTGTAATGGAGTGACTGATTTGTCACAATACATAACTGCCCCTGCTTTAGTCCATATTAATCCATATGTTCATTTAAGAGAAACTAAGAAGGGTTATTTTTTTAAAAAAAAAATTTTTTAATTTGACTTCTTTGGGAAAAATGCTTTTACATAAGACACCTTTACATAATCTGGTAAGATGCATGAAAGAATTTTTATCAGCCATTACTGTTGATGGACAAAAATACAAAAAGTGGAAACTAGAGAAACTGCCAAAGAACTTCCTCTCTTCAAGAATTCTGAGTTTCAACATAACTACTCAAAAAACTTTTGTGCTGTTAGTAGCCTAATATACCAGGATTGGGGTGGGAAGAATAGCAGGAACTTGTAAATTCTATAAAAGAGTCTTGACCATAAGTAACTTAAAGATTTCAGGATCATTCCATAATCTCTATTTTCAATCATCATCAACAGCAGGCAGTAATCCTACAGAAAAAAAAAAAAAAAAAAAAAAAGAAGTCCACAAATAAACAAACCAATTTTCCTTTAAGAGCAGAGCTAATTCTTTTCAATCCACTTTTTTATTACACTATTTTCCCTCTATCTATTTAGCTAGCATAAGGATAAATTTCCAAAGCTACCCAGTTGGAAAATAAATGGGTTCACTGTTTGTCTAGCATTCCAATCTTCACAAATGTAAATCAGTCCAACTGCTACTCATTTAAACCTCCAACTTCACAAAACATTAAAGGACTGCTTTCAATACACAATTTAATCTGTGACAATTCACCAAGATTTCTGCTTGAACATCATTAGAAATTGACTATCTGATAAAGAGAGACCACTATCAGAGGTCAGGCAGGTCAACCTGTGTCATTTACGTAGTTTTACTGGGTCAACTACAGCAGGCACCACTATTTGAAGGTTAAATTGTTACAATTAAATACATATACAGCTATTCCCATAGCTACTCGGTTGTTAAATCTACCGTAAACAACACAAGCATTTATATCTGACCCTAATTGTGTCCGAGATGTCACCATTTGGAAATTATACAAAAAAGGACATTATAATCCATTACACATTAAACAATACTTTATGTAGTGAGATCCATAATTAGCTGGTACAAACTGGTTTCATTTATTCACATCAGTGTTAAGGGGTTCATTTAGGTTACTTTCTTTCATTTTAATTGGAATAATGTGAGCAGTGCCTCCCAATATATTTTATAGCTAGAGAGTTCACTATAAACAAAGGCACGTAACCCTGCCAAGGCAGTCACTAGGGAAACTTTTTCTATGCATTGGCCCTATTCACTTCCTCCCTAAGTATCTTCGAGAAGATTGGCTTTGTTGGGGGGAAGGGTTCAGGGGGGTGCCAGTGAAGAGCCGTCTTATATTCAAGCATACTGCTTAGCTGGGAAATCCTACTTTACTCGAAGTTTGAAGCCAGCCACCCAGGACCGTTAACGTTAATGTGATTTTACCTACTCATCAGAGAAAATCAGACGAAATATCTCAGTAGTGTTTTGTAGCAATCACATCATTCTGATGCACATAATAGTATAACAAGGTACATATACTGATACATATAACAAGGTACATATACTGATACCATGAGAGAGAGTCATTAGCTGAGTAACTGAATTTATAATCAACTCCTACAGGAAAAAAAGAAAAAGATTTCTTTGCATACCTGCCTGTGTGTCTGTAGTTTGCACTACAATATATGTAAAGTTGTGTGTATGCTAGAAACTGTTCTCAGAACCAATGGTTTAAATCAATTCTAGTAAAATATCCAACTGGAATATAACAAGAAATTCTTACCAGTACACCCACAAAAGACAAATGAAACATAAGTCAGGTGAGCTTCCTGCTGCATACAATTACTTTGTTTTCTTTCTGATTTGCGTGAAAGCAGGACATTCACTTTTCACTCAACTCAGTAGCCTGGGATATTTATTCTGTTTTATCTGTGTGCTAGTGACCTGATCCAAGACTCCCACAGTCTTCGGTGGGCTTTGAATGAAGCCTTTGGCTGGGGAAGCAAAAGTGCTTGAATGCACTAGATTTTGTTGAAAGCACAGGATTAATTCTGATACCAGAGCAATTCCTCTGCTGGGCTTTCACATACGTGCAGACGTGTCTGTGCGTGCTGCAACAGACAGCAGAGGTGTGGGCCGTGTGGTCACTACAACAAAATTGTGAACACTTGTTGTACCATCCTTACGTGTAAGATCGTATCACATCATTCATCCTGAAACTACCTTTTCTTTTCTCCTTTATTATTGTAATTTCAGATTTTGCGTTGGAGACAAATTTTTCCTGAAGAACAACATGATTCTGTGCCAGACAGACTATGAGGAGGGTTTAATGAAAGAAGGTTATGCACCCCAGGTTCGCTGATCTGATGCCACATCATTACGAATACAAAGCACTATGTTCTTTTATCTTTTTTGCTCAACATGTATATAAGAAATGACACGGGAACCTACTGAATAGCATAGATATAGGGAGGCAGAATGGTTGCGTGAAATAAAAGGCGGACTGCATCTGTATGTAGTGAAAATTGCTCCAGTTCAGAGTTGAATGTTAATTAAAAAGGTACTGTACATACAGCTGGATTCTTTTTGCTTGCTCTTGGGGTTTTTCGTTTGTTTGGGTTTTTTGTTTCTTTTTGTGTCATTTGGCATGAGATGTTTATTTTGGACTATTGTATATAATGTATTGTAATATTTGAAGCACAAATGTAATACAGTTTTATTGTGTTACCATTTGTGTTCCTGTTTGCTTATTTGTATTGTTGCATTTAGTACAATCAGTGTCTAAACTTACTGTATATTTATGCTTTCTGTATCTACCAGCTATTTTAAATGAGCTGTATCTTTCTAGTAAAAAGTATTAAAGAGCAAATCCCAACCATTATGCTACACTTAGAGCTTAAGAATACTGTTTACATTAAAACTATTTAGAAAACTAATAACTCTAGCAGCACCTGCTGCTAATGATGCTATGGGTAAGGGTCTATCAGCACTTCTGTTATAAGCCTCTATTTTTCAGGGGTTAAACATCTGCTGTTTGATTGCATAGATTTTCCTCAAAGAGCACTTTGATTTTACTACAAAATTTTGAAAAACAAATCTGACCTGTTTGGGATATATTATAAAAGGTGCAAAAGTTAATGATTTTGGGTGCTGCTTTTGTGCCCCTTAGGCATTCAAAATGCCTGGATTTGATTTTTAATTTAGCTGAAAATTAAGCCCTATTGCAAACCAGTGCCTCTGGGTATCTTATTTTATATATATATATACATATACAAATATATATATGTTATTTTTCTGAGATCATTTAATTTGGTGCGGGGGGAAGGGAGAGGACTTCTGTTTATATAAATTTTAAAAATTTCTTAAAATTTGAGGGGTCTTTCTCTCTTTCCTTTTTCTTTTCTTTCTTTTTTTTTTTTTTTTTTTTTTTTTTTTTTTTTTAATCAGGGCTTAACCCTAAAGTTTTCTGGGTCTGTGTCCTGAACAAACCCTGGAAAAAAAAGTGAAAGTAGTAGGCACTGTAAACAGCCCCATCTGAGGGTCTATTTACATTAGGGAAATGACCCCAAACTGACACTAGGAGAGTGACTGGTTACTAATTACCCACCTGAAGGTAATTTAAATGCTGATGTGGATGGGACGGAAACTTTGAAATACCAATACAGAAAGTGAGGGCTATCACACTCAACTGCACAGGTAATTTGCTGTCCATGCCAACATCCCACAGGTTTGTCCCATCAATACTGGCAATTAAAATCCTTTTGACGGAGGTGGAGTCACTGCTGACAGCTACTGTTGGCAATCAGTCCATTTTCTAGGAGAGGTGGACCTCTGTTTTTAAAGCCATGAAGCTATTGCATCAGCAGGATGTCCCTAAGTGCTCATGCCCCTGACAGAGCTTACAGGTGTTTGGCAAAGGAAAGCAGGATGAATGTTTAAAAAGTTGTTAAATGCATATTTAATTCTTTTCTCTTTGCCACTGTAATCTAGCTCACTGGGAAAACAGCCTGCATTTAAAAAAAAAAAAAAAAAGAAAAACCAAAACAACAACAAAAAAAAAAATTCAGAAAAAAAACAAAAAAAAATGAAAAAAGGAAAGGAAAAAAAAAAAAAAAAGAAAAAATTCCACTATACCCTATGTTGCTATGAAGCTGAGCTCTTGATTTTATTTAGACTAAGAACCCTCACCTCTGCTCAAGTTGTGTGCTGTCCTTCCCTGCTCTTCCTGCCCTGTTGCACAGTTTCACCATGTTTTTCCTGGGGATGGGGAAAGAAACTTTGTAATGCAGTGGGGTAATCCTTCTAGCATATGGTTTGGAGTACACTGCACAGTGGCTTGATTTAGACATGGATATTTAGTTCTAATTACTATTGTTACAGTGTGGTTTTGTTTCTGGCTGTGAACCCTTTTAAAAATAAGCATGGCTCACGAAACCTGACTTTGGCTTGTACAGGACCAGTAAGAAGTGCAACAACCCCTCAGGCTGTAGTTGTTAATTAGAAGAAATGGCTACATAGAGATTTTCAAGTTAAATTTAGCCCTATTTTGTGGACTATCTTCCCTCCTAACCTTGAGCACAAGTCTCTTCCACTCCCTTCCACAGTCCTTTAATATCTTTGGAATAACAAAGCAGTTGATATCAGAGGTACTATTAGGCTCTTCCAGATCTACTTCAAGTGCAATAAACAAGTTGTCCTTTCCATGAAGGTGAGGATGGCCAGAAAGGGAAGTATCATATTACCTTGTTTTGATTCCAGTTTCAATTTTCTCCTCCAACCTGTGTTGTGTCTTTCAGTTAGAAACCAGAAAGATCTTTCTTCTGCTTTCCACTAGTAGACTACAGACTGGATATAAATCCCTGGTTCAGAAATAGGTCTGGGGAACAGGAAAAAAGGGACTTTGGTTCTGTCTTTGACTTGCTGTAAGCTTGGGCAAGTCACGCAACAACTCTGTGCCTCAGTTGCCCCTGTCTGCCAAATGGGGTTGATGCATACGCTGCTTTTGTAAAGCATTTTTGGCTCTTCAGGTAACCGAGAGCTATGCATGCAAATGTTACTAGTAGCTTTAGGACGTCCTGGGAGAAGCAAAGCATTCATATGTGCAGAAGGTGACCACAGATCTGAGGTAGGAGAGCACCAAAACCAGCTAGGCCTGTGGAAGGCTTTGTTGGGGATGAAGGCAACTGCACACTAATAGTGCTGTAAATGCTAAAGTGCTCTCTTGCTACCATGAAATGCCACTGCTCTGCTCTCTGAGGGGTCAGTGAAGACAGAGGAATGGGAACATAGTGGCTTATTGTTGTCTGCTATGTTCCTCATATGTGCACATGTGTGTTTTATGACATATGCTCAAAATGAGGAAGAGGAGGGTGGTCCTGCTATGGCGAAAAAAAACAGTCTCACCATTCTGTTAACCTGAATTAATGTAAGGATAAAGAAATGTTGATATGTTTGTTTGAAGTGCTGCAATGGTACGGCATTGCTTTGAGCACTTTAAGCTCGTATATCTTATTCACATCTGTATCTAAAAGTTGGATGTAGAGGATACAGTACAAACTTAGATTTTAAGTAGGACAAAGATCGATTACACATTTTCCTGTATTTCAAACTTCCATCTTGTCGGCTGTTAAAATAATAACTGGGAGTTGAAATATTTAATGGAAACATTTACAACTCCAATAAAGTATAATATCGTAAGACAATACTGAAGAGAGGTTATCTGCCAGGCCACTTTATTGATCTTTTTAACAGAGGCCGAGACCATTGAGATACTTTTGGTTATCAACGTTAGGTTTCATGCTCCATCACTGTGCATGTCAACATGCTCTGCCTGCATATAGCAAAATGTTCTGCTCAGTGTATGCTCATTTGCCAGGCAGGAATGCTTCCACTTTTACCTCCTATCTTTAGGGTATTTTATCTCTAACCATACAAATCTCTAAGTTTAGCCAGACAAAAATAGTAATAACAATAATTTTAGAAATCTATTATTCTTGGCTCGCTGTTTCTTAAGCCACGTGGAAAAATACTAATTATCAAACCTTGATTTTCAACTGTAGAAAGCTCCTCTGTCAACCATAACCTGCTGTGTCTTACCTGCCATGTGATGAATCAAGACCACTTGGATTCTGCAGAAGCAGTGACCAGGGCTAAAATTCGATCTGTTTCATAATTGTATTTTTATCTTGCTTAACATATTTTCTGGGTTGTTTTTTTAAACACACCTTTTTGCCTCTTCCTACCCTCACAAAATGCTCAAATTTATGGTCATATAATGTAAATAAAGAAAAATCATGGAGCAACCCCTCAAATGTTCCTAATTGCCTACATATAAAACGGCTTGAGGAAAATAGATTGAAAAGTGGTCAGTGAGAAGGGAGACTCTGGGGAAAAGAAACAAACAAACAGGGACTGTGGCAAGGTTTCGCCTGTACAGACAAAGTACTTTAAAGGCTTTTTTCAACGTAATATACAGCAGCTTCTTATAATTTTCTCAGCAGTAGGTAGTTTACAGTCATCTGTACCTAGAACAAATCTTGTCAAAAATGAAGGTCTGTAGTGATTGCTGGGTATAATTTTATACATTTAGCTGATTCTCCTGAAAGCTTCCACTGTGCTGCTGTTGTCAGACTAAATTATCAATTTAGCCATTTGTTGTTTAATGAATAAAAAACTCCTATGGCATTGGAGATGTTGTGGTTTCAATAAAGCAAAAGCTTTAACAACTCAAACTACAGAAAGCAAAGTGTGTACTGTATATAAGAACAGTGTTTTTATTCTTTTAAATACCACTTTAGATAAAAAAAGCCAATTACATACTCACTTAATACATTTCTCCTACTTCAATCCAGTGATGCAGACCAAACCTGTTTACTGTTCAGTACCTTGCAAAAGGAAACCAAAATACAATGTGTGCAAGGTAATAGGCCATTAGCGCAAACATGCTCCCAGTAAAAATCTTTTGTGTAGGCACCCTTTCTAGGAGCTGCCAATTGTGGGTGATAGAAGTATTATAAGGAAGTCATTTTAATAGTATTTAAGGCATTAAAAGCTGAAGAGTATCTGTTTAAAGCCTTAAAGTAAGGGTTGCATGTATATAATACCTTTTAAAATGCCCTTCTGCTGATTTATATTCATCCTGAACTTGCTAATAATGAGTATACATAAGCAAATACCATCTTCCACCTATTCAGCGTGTCATTGGTATGAAAGCCCCAGAAAATATCTCACGTAATCAGTGTGTTCAGAGAGTTATCTAGCACAAATTACTCATTAACTCAATAGCACATAATAAAAAAGAACATCAATTAATTAATGAGTCACCCTCAGATCACTTTGATTACAACACAGCTCTGTTGAAACAGCAGTTATAAATGGAGCTGCCTCTCTTTATTCATTGTTTGCAATTGGCCCATTATTTTGCAGAGACCAGTGTCATATTTAACACATGCCTGCAGGTAATTGTGTGATTAGTTTCATAAATGAAGATGCAGAGGGAGAACGCGGAGCGTCTTGCTCTGCAGTCGGGTCTGAAGATGCAGGAATTCAGTGTACCCCCTGCAACCCGGCGTGCGGGCAGACCTCTGCAGCGCCCGCCAGGCCAGCCTGCCTCGGGCTGCAAGGTCTTAGTGACAGGACAACGCTCAGAACTAGGCGTACTGGCCTCTACTTTAATCTGGAGATCTCAAAGCCCTGGGCAAACACCTCTGACTTAGGCCTCCCAACAGACCCCGGTGCTGGCATTTCACGGAGAAGACTACAGAGGCAGAGGTGGGCTGCCCGAGATAACGCAGCAAGTCTGCATTCCTCAGACCCCACTGTTAGCATGACTTGTAAGACCTCACACAACCTGCCCATCCTGCGCCTTGCCAAGACAGGCTCCAATGCTACGCTTGGAGCAACACACACAAACTCCTCCTCGGTGCTGAGGTATGGA